AAAAGGAGAGAGAGAATCGCTCGCTCGCTCGCGGCACGGAACGATGCCACGTTTGCTGTGGAATAAGAGGGGACCTTTGCACGGTTCGTGGGTGGGTTTTTGCAAGGGGGTGGGGGGCCAGCTTCACAAACGGGGGGGGGGAATTTGCCTCTCCGGTGGGGGGTTTGTGTTGTGTTGTGTTTTTCTTGCGGATTTGCGACTTTGTATGAAGTGTTGCGGCTTTGTGTCCAGTAGAGATCTCTTATGTATCTATTTCTGGAGAGGCTTCGTCTCCCCCCCACCCCCACCCCACATTGTGCGATCCCTGGTGTGCAAAGGTATCCTGGTTGATATCCGAGTTTGTTTGCCTGGAATGGCAGGAAAGGAGAGAGGGGGGGGTCCAGCAGGAATTTATTGGGGGGGAGGGGGCTAAGATGATCTGTGTGTGTGTGTGTGTGTGTGTGTGTGTGTGTGGCCGCAGTGCCTATTTGAGGGGAGAAATGCTGGAAATTCTCTTTTTCTTCCCCCCCTCTGGCTGCATGGAATCTTGGGGGGGGGGTGTTGTGTTTCCCTTTTGTGTTATTTTCCAGCAGTTTGGGGCAGCCTGAGTGGGTGGGGAGGGGGTTCTCCGTCCATAATCTGACATTTTGCTTCGTTTTCTGGGTTAAAGCTGAGGCCTGGGGGGTCCCTGCCTCTCCAGGCCTTGGGGAGGGAGGGAGAGATTTGGGGGGGCAGAGGGGGGGATGTTGGGGGTCAGCTCCTTTTTTCCTGCATAATGAGATCTCCGTTTGGAGGGCTGGGAATACAATACAGGTAGTTCTCGACTTACAGCTTTTCATTTAGTGACGGGTTGAAGTTAGGATGACCCTGGGGGGGGAAGTGACTGAGGAGTGTTTTCCCACATGGCCCTTGGGGGTCATGGGATCAAAATTCAGACACTTGGCAACTGACTCGTATTTATGACGTGATCTGCGACCTTTGAACCAACAAACCCAACGGGGAAGCTGGGTTCGCTTAACAACCAGGTTGCTAACAGGAACAATGGCAGCGATTCACTTAACAACAGTGACCAGAAAGGTCGCAAAACAGGGCAAAACTCGCTTAACGGTGGCATTGTTCAGCGTCGCAGGTGTTGGGCCCCATTGTGGTTGTAAGTCGAGGGCTACCTCTCATTGCGGCTGCTTTTCCTTTATAAACGGGTGGGGCTTGGTGACACAATTGGGGAGGGGGTTTTTCACAGAGGCGCGTGGGTGCTGAGAGGGAACCCCCCGCCCCGCTTGCCCTAACCATGTTTGTTTAGCTGTTAAGCTGTGTTTCGGGGTTAAAATGTGGCTTTATTTCTGGAGTCTGGCCTGAGTTTTGGAGAAGTTGGGTTTAAGAACACTCCCCCGTTCAAGAGAAGTTTCGGTAGCCATTTGTCTGGGATAGTTCAAGGGTGTAAGGGGGTTGGACTAGATGACCTCCCGAGATCCCTTCCAGCCCTAGGAGGCAGATCCTGGCCGAGGGACTCCCACCATGCTGAAATTGGGATATACGTGGAAGGTCAGTTTTAGCTAAAGCAGTGTTTCTCAACCTTGACAACTTGAAGTCCACAGGACTTCAAGTTGCCAAGGTTGAGAAACACTGAGCTAAAGGACGAATAATTGCTCTAAATGTGAGACCCCAGTCGAGTTTTCCCCCCCTCTTAAATCAAGGGTCTCCAACCTTGGCAACTTTAAGCCTAGGGGGACTTCAACTCCCAGAATTCCTCAGCCATCCATGCCTCTTTTCTTTTCTTCCACTGTCTAGAGCGGAGAGATTGCAGAGAAAGGGACCGCAGGAGAGAGTAAGCAGGCATAAAGTGGGGAATACATATCAAAAGGAATGCGTTACTGCCAGGGAATTCTGGGAGTTGAAGTCCACCCATCTTAAAAAGTTTCCAAATTTGGAGACCCCCCGGCCTTAAAGCTTTTTCAGGTATTTGGTTCTATTTTATTCAGTTTTATTATTGTTTGATGAAACTTATATCCTGGATGTGGAGAAAGGCTTTATCAGGCCAAAGGCCTCTCTACGCAGACACCGTTTTCTTGGGTCTCCTACCTCTGGCCTTCATCTGTAGCCTTGAGGACTAGGAACCTTTACAGTTGTCATTATTAATTTGACTCAGCCCGAATGGCAATTATGCCAGCACCTTGTGGCACGGAGTTCCCCAGGCCAGCCATCTATCTGCTTTGTACCTGACAAAATAAGTTAAGGGCTTGCTGTAAGATGGAAGAAAAAAAAAACAGACCCTGGAGAAATATATAAATATATGTACATTTGAAAAAGACTTTCCCCTAAAATATACTTAGTGGTGTCTCTTGATTTTCATTCGGAGAACTGCAGAGTCCAATTTTAATATCAGAAAATTACAGTCTTGTATCTATTTTTTATTAGATAAATTGAGGCTTTTTTCCTCCCCCTAACAACACCCATCTGTTGGAGTCTTTTGTTTTCCCAACTTTCCAGCAAAGTTGGAAGTGTGAATTTTAGGGGATTTTTTCCCCCCTGTCCTGTGGTCTTAAATCAAAGGAAGTGTATTTGATTTGCTTGTTTATTTAATTTTTTTAATGAAAGAAATCAAATATTTTAAAACCGCATTCCTGCTGCGCTTGCATCTCAAAAGTTTTGAAAATACCAAGTTATTTTGGACAGGGAAAAAAATATAAATAGCAAAAGCTCCTTGCTGTATGTTACACCGTTTCCATTACACTTTTATTTGTATTTGAAAACCTGGTTTGTTTGTGGCTTAGTGTATTTTGTAAACAGATTGTGGTTAAAAGCAATTAACTCCTTAGTGGCAGGGATTCAAGCACCGAGATTTATAAAACAGAATTTGTGGTGTAATGCAATAGGTGAATCCAGTTCATGTTGGGCTATTCAATAGACTATGATTAGTAGAAATCATGGTGTGTTTTGGCCAGAAACTAGAATTAAACCCCAGTTTCCAGCAAAAAAAAGGTTGTACGTTACAGTCACGTGACCTTGGCACGCTGCAAATATCCATAAATGTGGGCTGATTGTCGAACATCGAAAATGCAATCACTTAACCGGAGGGGTGGCCATTGCAACTTTAAAACCAGGTTGTAAGTAGCACTGAGAAGGTCTGTCATAACTTGGAACGGTTGCTAAGTGAGGACTGCCTGCAAGCGATCCCTTGACTCCACCTGTTGCTTTCAGTTTTTAGCACTTTCGGTGGCATCCGAGATGCTGGAAGGGAATAGAAAACTACACTGTTTGTGTCAGGAGTGCAACTGCAGTGTTGTTGTGAGGCTGTGATAGAAGGGCTCTGCTTTATTTTAAGGACAGAAGGATTGGTGAATTTTTGTGAATTTTTCCCTTGATGGGAAAAGTCGATTGGAGCCCCTCCCTCCCCCCCTCTCTCATTCTCCTTACCCTTTCCTTCCTTCCTTCCTTCTTTCTTTCTTTCTTTCTTTCTCTCTATTTCTTTCTCCCTTTCCTTACCTTACTCCTTCCTTCCTTCCTTCCTCTTTCTTACTCTCTATTTCTCTCTCCTCTCCCTTTCTTCCTTTCCTTTCCTTACTCTTTCCTTTTTTCCTTTCTTTCTTCCTTTCTCTCTATTTCGCTCTCCTTCTCTCCCTTTCTTCATTTCCTTAACTTCTTCCTTCCTCTTTCTTTCTTTCTTTCTTTCTTTCTTTCTTTCTCTCTATTTCTTTCTCCCTTTCCTTACCTTACTCCTTCCTTCTTTTCTTCCTTCCTCTTTCTTACTCTCTATTTCTCTCTCCTCTCCCTTTCTTCCTTTCCTTACTCTTTCCTTTTTTCCTCTTTCTTTCTTCCTTTCTCTCTATTTCTCTCTCCTTCTCTCCCTTTCTTCATTTCCTTTCCTTACTCCTTCCTTCCTCTTTCTTTCTTTCTTTCTTTCTTTCTTTCTTTCTTTCTTTCTTCCATTCTTCTGCATTTTTGCTCTTCTCTTCCACTTCTGGCTTCTCTCAACTGGAAGCCTGAGGGGGGGGGCATCCTGCCTGCTCCCTCGCAGAACCTCCATTCGCCTTAGGAACAGCTAACCCAGCTTTAGCTGATTAGGTGACGAGGACAGGACAGGCGGTGAGGTTTCAACCGAATCAAGAATAGCTTCTCGGCGCCTTCCCAGGTGCCCTCGGACTCCTCTGAGGTAGACTGCCCCTCCACGGGAGGCTCCATCTCCTGCCCGGGCCCATGCTCAGCGCTCGGCCGCCCTTTCTGTGTGAACAATGTCTTATTTCTCTTTATTTCAGCCAGGCGAGAGGCCAGGCAGCCTCCCGGGGACGGCAGCCTCCCCCTGCCAGGGGCCGTAGCTTGTGTTAACTGCAGTTGGGTAGGATCTGGCGGAGGCCGGGCAGATCTCCCGGCCCGAACCCGGCGGCCGGTGCTTGTCCCTGCCGGCAACAGAAGGGACGTTTCGGAGTCACAGCAACACCCTTCCCGCCAGGGTTCAAGACAGCCCGTGAGTACCGAGCTGCGGTTAACGTCTTCCCTTCTTGCAGGGCTGCGACCGGCCCCAGCAGTGGCCAGACCCCTCCGCCCGTCCGCCCGTCTGTCCGTCCCTTCCTGCCTTCCTTCCCCAGGCGGCTGGGGCTCCGTGTCCAGCTGAGGAGGTCCCACCCCTCATTTCCTGGCTATGGAGAAATCAGGGTGGTGAGAATCCTCCTGCAGGCCCTCCTTTCCAAGGGGTGGGGGGCACGTGCCCCACTTCCGATGCCCAGAGGGGTCGTTTTCTCTGACTTCCGAAGGGCCAAAGCAGAAGCTTGGAGGGATTTGCAAAGCAGGGTTGAAACATTGAGGGCTCCCTGGTGCCCTTTCTTTGCAGACCTCTCATGACCCAACTAGGTAGCATCATCAGTGCTAGAAAGGAGGGGGGGCTTGCAAAGAGGAGGAGGAGGAAGAAGTAAAGGGCTGTGGGGTCCTTGGTGCTCTCTGAGTTTGGTGGCTTTCTTGCAGACGTTTCATGACCCAACTAGGGAACATCATCAGGGCTAGAAGGGAAGAGAAGGAAGAGGAGGAGGAAGAGAAGGAGGAGGAAAAGGAGAAAGAGGAGGAGGAAGAGGAGGAGGAGAAAGAGGAGGAGGAGGAGAAGAGAAGGAAGAGGAGGAAGAGAGGAGAAGGAGGACTGTGGGGTCCTTGGTGCTCTCTGAGTTTGGTGGCTTTCTTGCAGGCGTTTCATGACCCAACTGGGGAACATCATCAGTGCTAGAAGGGTGGGGGGCTTGAGGAGGAGGCGGGGGGCTTGCAGAGAGGAGGGGGAGAGGAGGAGGAGGAGGAGGGAGACTCCTTGGTGCTCTCTGAGTATTGTTGTTTTCTTTATAGGCATTTCATGACCGATCTAAGTAACATTATCAGGAGGGTGTTTGCGTTCTTTTTAAACTCCCATCCTTCCCTTTTTTTTCTTTGCCCCTTCAAATTATTCTTAACCCCCCCCGAGATAAGTTGGGCCATTTGAAAGAAGGGACCAGGATGTATGTAGCTGCGTAAGGCAGGCGCTGGACGGTTTCAACAGTTCAGGATTCAAAGAAGGCCTCTTGAACAGATGCCGAACATCTGGGCTGCGACCCAAAGGGAAGCTGGACTCACGCTGATGTTGTGGGTGATGGGCCATAACGGGAGACGGAAGTGGATCTTGGGGGGGGAATCGAGGAAAGATTGCAAGAAAGAGGAAAGCGGGAGGGAGGGGGAAAAAAGCTTGAAAACTGGATGCGTCTTGATTTTAGATACGCATAAAGCGAAGGGATGGGAAATTCTGGCAGGTTTTTTTAAGTTTTTGCTACAATATCGCACCACAATAAAAAATGGACCAAAAGCCATTTTTACGAATCGCATCGGCTTCCACCTGCATTTGCTACTAGTCCGTTAACGGCAACGTTGTCGTTTCCAACCAAAATTTCTTTCTTTGCTGTCCTTTAAAAGGAGGTTTTTCTCTCTCTGGCTCGGGCGCTGATTTGAAGTGTGTTTTCTCAGTTTTAAATTATTTAATTGCGTCGTTTAATCCGTGAGCGCTGCAATTAATTTGTCTCCCGGATGGTTCGTTATTTTTCTTATTGCGGGAGATGGCTTGGGAGTTTGGGATGAGCACTGCAGTTTATCAGCGACTCCCCAAAAAACTTTCCAAAGTTGCGTCTGTTGTAAAAAACAAAAGGGGGGGGGCATATCTTTGTTGTGATTTCGTTTTTCCCTGCCTTGAATGTCCCACTAACAAGGTGGGAAAACTTTAAAAGTGGGTCCAATTCTCAGCCAGCTCCTTGTCTTCTGTCTGTATTTTGAAAATATATATTTTATGTTATCTGTGAGAGTTAAAATTTGGTGTGCGGTTGAAAGATTTCAGCCTGTTTATGGTGTGTTTTTGATGTGTTCCCCCCCACAAACACACAATCCTTCCCAACCCCACCAGTAAAAAAAAAAACTCCACCAGACCTTTTGTCCATTTGGAGGCCAGGATTTGGGGGGGGGGGCTCACAATGGTGAGGGTGCTTGCCAAGCCTTCACTCAAATGAAGAGGGGTCTCCATCCCACTCTCAGGTTTTGGATTTAAGTGGATTTAAGTTCCCCTCTTTCTTTTCTAGCTGAAACCAGGTTTAAAAGTGGCTGGTGGTCTTAACTGGTCTTTTAAAAATAAAAATTTAGCTGCTTCTTTTTAAACCTCGTAGCCAAAACAGGAAAGTCCTCGTTTTACAACTAAAATGGAGACCCAAATTTATCTTGCTAGAACGACTCAGTTGTGTCACGTGAGCTTTTGCCCCATTTTGCGACCTTTCTTGCCCACAGTTGTTAAGTGAATCACTGCAGTTGTTCAGCTGCTCGCGCGGTCGTTGAGTGAGGCTGGCTTCCCCATCGACTTTGCTGGTCAGAAGGTCGCAAAAGGGGGAATTGTGCGACCCCCGGGGTCGTAAAAATGAGTCAGTAGTTGCCAAGCATCCAAATTTTGATCGCGTGAGACGGGATGGGGGGGAGGTTGCGGCGCTCGTAAGTGTGGGAAACGGGTCCTGAGCCCCCATTTTTTCAGTCCCGTGATAACTTCAGTCACTAAATGGATTGTTGTAAGTCGAGGACTAACCGAAGAGTGGGGGGAGGGGGGGAAGCAGAATTTCTAGGATTCTGCAACCGTTTTTTTTCCTGGGGTTTATTTTTCTTTTTTGGGGATTTATTTGGGGTTCTGCTGAGCCCCTCCCGTCTCTCCTGGGGAAGCGGAAAGACCCCGGGGGGGGGGCAGGGGGGCATCTCTGCCTTCCTCTCCTGACCCATCGTCCTCCTCCTCCTCTTCCCCCCCTCTCTTTCCCTCCCCAGAATGGCGGAGCCGCGCTTTAACAACACCTACTTTTGGCCACCGCCTCCCACCATGCCCAGCCAGGTAAGAACCGCGACGTCTCGGATTCCCCCCCCCCCAAAAAAAAAGTTTCTAGTCCTCAAGAACTAAAGTTCACACGCCAGGTTGGTTTCCCCTGCCCTATGGGGAGAATGCTAAAATCCTGATAATATTGATGTATGTAAAGTCAAGCGGGCATTTGGGGTTAAACCTTGTCCCCGGGGGGGGGGGGGGGGGGGTTTTTTCCTTGCCCTGGGGGGAACGGCCCCCCCCCCCCCCCCCCCCCAAATAGGATGATTGGGAAAAATGGGCCCAAGTAAGAGAGAACTTTATAATTGAACTTGCATTTGTTTATTTTTTCCTTCCTTTCTTTCTCCCTTCCTTCCTGCCTTCCATTTCTTTCTTTTTCTTCTTTCCCTCCCTTCTTTCTTTTCTTTCTTTTCCTTCCTCCCTCTCTCCTTCCCCCTTCCTGCCTTCTGTTTCTTTCTTTCTTTTCCTTCCTTCCCTTTTTCTTTCTTTTTCTTCCTTTCTTTCTTCCCCCTTCCTGTCTGCCATATTTTTCTTTCTTTTTCTCCCTTCCCTCCCTTCTTTCTTTTTCTTCCTTCCTTTCTTTCTTCCCCCTTCCTGCCTTCCGTTTCTTTCTTTCTTTTTCTTCCTTCCTTTCTTTCTTCCCCCTTCCTGCCTTCCATTTCTTTATTTCTTTTCCTTCCTTCCCTTTTTCTTTCTTTTTCTTCCTTTCTTCCCCCTTCCTGCCTGCCATATTTTTCTTTCTTTTTCTCCCTTCCCTCCCTTCTTTCTTTTTCTTCCTTCCTTCCTTTCTTCCCCCTTCCTGCCTTCCGTTTCTTTCTTTCTTTTTCTCCCTTCCCTTCCCTCCCTTCTTTCTTTTTCTTCCTTCCTTCCCTCCCTTCTTTCTTTTTCTTCCTTCCTTTCTTTCTTCCCCCTTCCTGCCTTCCGTTTCTTTCTTTCTTTCTTTTCCTTCCTTCCCTTTTTCTTTCTTTTCCTTCCTCCCTCTCTCCTTCCCCCTTCCTGCCTGCCATATTTTTCTTTCTTTCTTTATCTTCCTTCCTTCCTATCTTCCTTTCCCTCTTTATAATTTGTGTTTTTTTATGTTCTTCTAAAAAGTTTAATTACGTGTATTTAAAAAAAGAGAGAGTAGCAGCTCCTCCTGCCTTAATGATATTACTTTCGGCTATCCTGGTGTATGTAAGGAAAAAAGGGGGTATTTCCCCCCCCCCACCAAATCTTCTTCCAAATTACGATTATTAATTTTGGGGCTACAGGAGGGAGACGAATGGATAAACGGAGCACCCCCACAGATCCATGGTCCTAGTGCTGGCCTCTTCTCCAGGAAAGCTTTCTCCTACTGTGCTATCCAAGATCTCCTAGTGGCCTCCACTCCAAAGATGTAGCTGTCTGACTCTACTTAGTTTATACATCTTTGGAGTGGATTAGGTTGGGATGCTTCCGTTCCTTTGAATCAGAACTAGACAACGTTGTGTCCCATGGTTAAATGATTGTTAGCCCTTAAATTTGCCTTGGCTCCAGGATTCCCTCTGTCGGGCGCATGAATTGCAGAGGTGTCTGAAGGTCATCTAGCCTGACCCCCCGGTTCCTTGGCCTCCTGCCGTCTTTAAACCACGAGGCTCGTCCGTTCTAGGTCACTCATTCCCTTCTCTTCTGTCCCCAGCTGGACAATCTAGTCCTCATCAACAAAATCAAGGAGCAGCTCATGGCGGAGAAGATCCGCCCCCACCACCTGCCCCCTACCTCGGTCTCTTCCCAGCAGCCCCTGCTGGTGCCCCCCTCGCCCGCGGAGAGCAGCCCTTCCATCATGTCCATTCCTAAGCTCCAGCAAGTCCCGGGGCTTCACCCCCAGGCGGTACCCCAGCCGGACGTGGCCCTCCACGCGCGCCCTGCCACCAGCACCGTCACAGGTAGGGGTTTGGACGCTAGTCCTCATGGTTTCGATGGCGGGGTGAAGCCGGAAAGTTCATCCCTGAGGGGTGCAGGCATGAAATGACCTGTCCAATGGTGCACGGCAGTGGTGGGTTCCGGATCCTGTCGCAACTGGTACGCTGCGCACGAGGCCAGGCATCCTAATCGGGCACATGCGCTGCACACGCATGCACAAACCACCCCCCTGTGACACCCAGCTGCTCGGCTGAGGCCACACGGGCACTGCATTATAAACAGCGATGGAACAACACGGGTGGGCCAAACAAGCCACCGTACTGG